GGGGTGAGAATAGCGAGTCATGATCAGTCTTTCTCACCCGGGGTGAGAATAAAGAATTTTTTTCCTTGTTACATTTTCACCTCACAAAAATGCAGAGAGACATGTCTATGTACACGGTGACCGGGAATGTAGCCTCAATATCTACGCACACGGTAACCGGCAACCGGGCATGTAGTCTCAGTGTCACCAGAGACTATAATTAAATACACGGTAACCGGTGTTCAGAACTCCAAGTTCAGTTTTTGTCATCTGGTGTTGCCTTCATCCCCACCCCTCCCCCGACTGTACCTTTTTAAAAAATCAATAATCTCCCCCCCCACCCCCCGTTTCGGAGCCCTATACTTCGCAGCGCACACTTTGAAAGAACTTTGGTGACCCCAACCGGTACTCACAATGTGATGCACATGCACAGGTTCACTGACCTGTCACGATAACAAGCCCGACAAGAAGCTTTATGACTTTCTCTTTTTTTCAGCAAGTGACAGCACAGGACAAATATTGATTTTATATTCATTCCGGTAATCGTGTACGTGTAGATACTGAGACTATAGGTGTCCTGTTACCGTGTACGTATGGATACTCTAAGACTAGTTGAGACCAGGTCCCCGTTTACAGTGTACGTAGATACTGAGACTAGGTGCCCGGTAGTGAGGGGCAGGTATCGATACCTAGGTATCAAAACATAAATACCTATATGGGTATTGGAATCGATACCGATAACTGTTCTAAATATCGATACCTACGTGTTATTTATCCCAGGGCTGCCAGAGCAGGTGACTTGGGCCTTGAGAATTTTTTGTGTTTAGCAAAACTGAAGTTTTCGTAGGGGGGGGGCAGTGGCGAAGCGTCTATATAATCAAATAATCACTGCTTCCCTTCCTAATTTTGAAACATTGCCGCTGTCAAATTCACCCATAGACGTAAACCTCATAAATTAAATGTAAAAAGACCAATGAACAGTATGCCTAACACTCGAAACGGTTTCATTGCTACAGAAATTAGAAATAGCCTGTTCACCTCTATCATGCCATTCCATAAGCAGTCGCAAGCTTTGATTAATAAGGTTACCTAGTGAGGCTGGAAGATTGTACCAAAAGAGTTGAAGGAAACATGTGTGCAGCAGTCAAAACTGTTTCATTGCCTACCCTGTTCACCCCTTTCGGGCCACAGAACTTATAAGCAGTCACAAGCACTGATTATCATTATGTAAGCGAACTATTACACTTGTCCAGTCTACCTCACAAATGTGAGGGGAATTAACTCCTAATAATATCTTGACTGATCTGCGAGTGCTTGTCTCGACTTTTTACCGTCCTATAAATAATCAGATCGTGACCTCGATTATGACACTGGCTCCTGGCTGTGAAACAGCCAAACATAAACATGAAAATTTATAATCGTCATGTTCTACCAAAGAGTTTAGTCTCACTGGTATTACACACTGTGGTACTGCCATCTCTGCTTCTTTGCTTTGTGTTTGTGTATTTACATCTAAAAGATAAATTTAATGTTTTTTTGAATAAATATTTAATGAGATACTTTCCCGATTATTTTAGCGGTTGAACATTCATCATACAACATGAATTCGGGATTTGTTTTCAGTTTTCATTTACTACTCAGTGTTGCCGCATCAAGACGATCGAGTAAGATTATTTTGTGACATCTCCAGGTCCTGTCTGGTCCCATCTCACTTTGATTACCCTGTCAAACAAGTTTACCTTCGCCCGGGGGGGGGGGGGGGGGGGGGTCGCGGCAAGCTTTTTAAATGAATCTAGTGATTTTCTTAACAAAAAGAGAGAAGTTTTTCATGAAACCTATCTAGTGATTTAGCAAAATCCTCACTGGGCCCCGATTTATCCTCAATTGGTTTAATTTAAAGTTGCTAGAAATGTGGTAAATTGAATTGCCTTTTTAGAACTCTTGTGTTTTTATTTTCCAACATTAACATTTTCTGCAAAGTTGACTTTCCTCGCGTACTTCACTTAGTTTTGTGTTCATTCTCATATTTGGGTATTTATTACCTCTCTCTCTGCTCTCTCTCCTTACTTTTACAAATAATTTTTATTTGAGTCTCAGCTAAATATATGGTCACAACCTGTCTAGACACGAACCTTAATACTTGGAAGAGTATAGTTGTATTTTTGACTTTACTTAAACTTAAACCCCCTGCCGTAGCCTATGTTACTAATTTTAATAGCATTAGGTATTGAGGTATCGGTATCCATACCTTGAAAAAGTACTAAGGGATCGACATCGCTAAATTGTGGTATCGGCCCATCACTAGTGCCTGGTTACTGTGTACATAGACACTCCGTTAATTAAATTGGTTCAAGACACAGCCCCCCCCTCCCCCTTCCTGCTTTTTTTATTCAATGCGTAAGATTAATTATTGAATCATATATTGATAATTGAATGGCAATAATGAATCATGTCCCCTTAATAATTGTCTTCTATCCGTTGATGCATTGATGATACAGAAAATAGCAAAACTTTTGTTTTAAAAAGTCGTTTTAGATGGTTACTAATTATGTATTAAAATTAAGAGTTGGCTAGGAGAAATAAATTTGATGAACTTTCAATATTACGAAAATAAAGGCATCCGCACTTGTTTTTATTACTTTTGGGCTTTGAATGTCGTCATTGTGGGAATTCCCATTGGGTTAAAATTTCTGTGCTCCAACACTTCTGTGATCACTTGCTGTTCAATGCAAAAAGAAAAAGCTCTTTAGCAAAGCTAAATTCAGTTTGTAAATTTAAAGCAATATAGATCTAGATCTAGAATTATGATTCTGATGACTGAAAAGTCGACCCTGGAGGTGCTAGGGCGGGCATTGAGTCTGTTGACATGTAGGCTACGGAGCCATCTTTTTGGTTTGGCTCGGTTCGTTCAGACTGGGAGAAGCAATTTCATGCAGCCCCTTTGTTGCACTCTGAAACTGGTACTCTTTTACAGTGTTTTCCAAAATAAATTTTTCATTCTTCATTTAATGAAAACTCCACTGTGATCCCCAAAATATTAGTATTATTAGATCTAGATCTATAACATAGATCTAGATTTACTTAGTTAGTATTAGCCTTCGTCGATCATGGGTCTGCGGCTTGGTGGACTGGATGTTCACAAAATCCAATGAAAATTAAAATTTTCTAGTTTGAAACTCACAGTCTTTCCGCCTAGCTTCCGAAGGATAAATAATACACTTAACTTCAGTGCTTCACTTGAGCATTACCTGCTTTAATTATCCCTCGACAAAATGCAACAAAGTTCAAGACGAGCGAGACAAAACTTTCACACACATCACCACGAAAAAGCCTCTGAATTTCCTCAACTGGGAGCCTGGGATTTTTGTTGCCTTTAGTCCCCAGAATTTGTCTGTCGTACTGTTCTGATTTTTACAATGCTACACCCCCAAAATCAAAATTCGGCTCAAAATCATGGAATTTGAGTTGTAGCCATTTTTAGCTTCCTCAGCCTCTCCTACAACTATTTCATGGCATAAGAACCCCCCAAAATCGTATTTTTTCCCATACCGGGCATGTTTGTAACCGCCATTTCCTCTTAAAGTCAGTATTTATTTTTCTTTATCGGCCGTTTTCTCAAAATGCTACTTTTGTCTATACTTTTTTGAATAACTCCACCATTTTTCATCCAATCTTCATGAAATTTTCACAGAATGAAGAGAAGAGGTAATACTAAAAATTTGTCTGTTGAATTTTTGATATATGGAATAGATTTTTGTTGGTGGTGTCTGGAGTGTGGATTTTCACGGATTTTTGGCAAACTTGAATGCTAGCTCAGAAAGAAATTCATTAAAAATTTTGTAATTCGTTTAGGAAAAAAAACAACAGACAAATTTTTAGATTTAATGTTTGTAAACACGCATGCAAAAAAACAATCAATTTCCATAAGTGATAAGTGCGGTATTCATTACGTAAGACATGTCAATAAAATCCAATATGGCGGCGTATCCATGGAAACGAAACTTTTTTCTCAAATTTGATTGCGGATTTCAAGACTCCTTACTATGCTTGTTATATGTGTGAAATGTAGTAAAATTCGGTCCAGTAATAAGCGAGATAGCCTCCAGGTTTAGCCCCCCCCCCCCCCCCTTAATGGTAAAATAAACGATAGCAATTAAATACAAGCTAAAACAAATAGCACGATAGTTTGTTCTTTTTCTCCCTATGAAACTAATCTCATACAATGTAATCTTAGTCTAAGTTCATTGTTCTGCCCACAACTAATGTCTTTGGCCATTATTATTTTATTGTTGAAAAACCGCTAAAAGTACATTTAGGTCTCCCAATTACTCTGGACATAGTTTCTATTTTCCACAGAATTCTGTGCTATTTTCTCAACACGGATCTCTATTTTTAGTCATCGGGAATTCTATTGTTTAAATATTCTCTTCTGTCTGAATCACCAAGTTACATCCTTGTACCCAAGACGGATTTTTTTTTTTGTCTTGGATTGTACTACGACGACGTAGTGTACCAAATACTGCTGATGTAATTACGTACACGTCTATGCTATTTGGTTTGCATATATATTGATATATTCTTTTTAGCTGAAAACTTATTCTAACTACACTCTATTATATGTAGGCTACTGGGTTGGGTTTTTTTTTGAGTGAACGGGTGATTAGATTAATTTGCACAGGCTTTCCTAAGGTATCGAATACAAGCACCCCGGCCCTCCCCTCGCCCCGCTTAGGCCTATCAGTTTCCAGGTTTTTTAAATTGCTTCATCTCACTTCTCAGTTCTCAGAACTGAACACTGAACACTGTGTTGTAACAAAGTGACGAAGTGTGTCAAATGCTAATTATAGAACTTGGTGTCTAGCTGGGGTGAGGGTTGAAAAGGGGAGGGAAGGGAGGGGGTTTTCGGCCCAGACTCTGACAGCCAAGTGTCTATCGCTCCTTGTTAAAATTTTCCTTATATATATCTTCACTAGACGATTCCTTCTTTCGCCGACCAGACTCCTAAGGGCCAGGTAAGTTATTAGTGGGGAGAAAACGATGAGTAAATGCCAAACATGGACTATATAGGGGTTAAAAAGTCAATAAACAAAAAAGAGTAGTGCCATGCTGACAATAAATGTTCTGATAGTAGTTAGAGAAAGGCTGAATGATAAATACATGTTTTGCTGATAAAATAATGCATGTGTCTGTGCCTCTCAAGACAGTCTCATTCTTAATTTTGTAAGCTACAAAGAGGCCAATCTGGCAATAAAGGGATATACTAATCTTTCTGTGGGCTGACGATGGATTTGTCCATGGGACTGACGTCATCGCTAGACCTAAGCCACAGAATTCTACACTTAGAATTCTGTGGCCTAAGCCAAGCCCGCCGTGTGTTTGGCCTCGTACGTAGTACGAAGTTCCGCGACGTGACGGTTTGACGGGAGACGATTTAAAGTTACGAGCCGGCGAGATAGCAATCGTGAAGGAATGAGGTTATAGTTATGTCGCGACAAAACAGCAGTGAATCCCACTTGTCTATTTGAGCGCCTTCAAATCGGCAAGGTGTTTTTGAATGTTGATACATATTTGAATTGTTTGTTTGGATTTACTTAAACCTGAATGAAAATTGTCATCAGCAATAAACCTCTAGTCAACAGTTCAGTTGACAAAAATCTGACTGGCACCGCCAGTTTACCCAGTTAACAAACTGCCCCTGGTAGCCAGGGGCGAAGCGTCTATATAATCAAATAATCACTGCTTCCCTTCCTAATTTTGAAACATTGTCGCAGTCAAATTCATCCTAAAACGTAAATCTCTTATATTAAATGTAAAAAGACGTTCGTGATCAACAATGTACAGTATGCCTAACATTCAAAACGGTTTCACGGCCACAGAAATAGCCTCCTCACCCCTCTCGGGCCACTCCATAAGCAGTCGCAAGCTTTGATTAAGTAAGCTTAAAGTGAGGCTGGAAGAGTCTACCAATAGAGTTGAAGGGAACTTGTGCATAGCAGTCTAAGTTGTTTCATTGCCACATTGCCCCTTTGGGGCCACAGTTGTAATCAATCACAAGCCCTGATTGTGTAAGCTAACTAACACTGGTCGAGTCTACCTCACAATAATTGTGAGGGGAACTAACTTCTAATAATCTCTTGACTACTACATATGCTTGTTTTTTTTTCCTCGACTTTTTACCGTCCTATAATCAGATCATGACCTCGATTATGACACCAGCTCCTGGCCGCGAAAGGCTAACAAAAACAGCCAAATGTGAAATTAAAAAAATAATAATTGTCATGTTCTACCAAAGGGTTAGACTCACTGGTAGATCTATAACATATAGATCTAGTACTGACATCTCTGCTTCTTTGCTTTGTGTTTATGTATTCACGTCTAAAGTTAAATTAAATTTTAGTTGGAACTGATATTTAATAAGATACTTTCCCGATTATTTTGGCGGTTGAACATACAATATTAATTCCGGATTTGTTTTCATTCACAACTCAGAGTCGCCGCCTCGAGCAAGATTCTTGTGTGATGTCTACAGACCATATCTGGTCCCGTTTCACTTTGATTACCCTGTCAAACAAGTCAGCCTTCGCCCCTGCTGGTAGCCTATATCTCTTCATCTATTGTACTGCGGTACTTGAGAACTCTAATTCCAGCTTCATACGAAGTGCAATCCACGACGAAATCCGAAATGGATCTCGAGAGACTTAATGTTCGATAGATCGAAGGTTTCGGGTCATTCGAAATGGAGTCCTTTCGGATTTGTCCGCTGTCCTTATATTTGTTTCTGCTGATGCAGAAACTCATATCGATCGAAAAATGAAAAGCTGTTTGTCCGCTATAACTGACCCATATATATACTTCCCGATTATTTTCTAGCCACGCGACCATGTACGAAGCATTTGAATCTATAGATCTGAATTGAATGAAACTTCTTTTTTGTTGTTGTTGTTGTTGTTGTAAATTACCTTCAGTTTTGTAGCCTCATATTATGGTGACGGCACGCTTGGCTCCCTCAATTTTCTGTGCATATATTTATCTTATAAACTTTTGTACGTTATTATAATTATTGGTTTATATTTTTTAATGAAATTTGTTTGTTCCTATAAATGGGAATTAGTTGTCACAATAATAATTACTAAAATCACTAAAATTTCGTGATCTAGCTCTTATATGTTCTTTTATTCGTTGACGGCGAAATGCCCCCCCCCCCTCTTTATTCCAACTCCACCCCCACCCCCCCTTTTATTAATTTTAGACCACTTGTCCAACCCCCTCCCCATTCCTACCCGCTCCCCCTTTTTAAAAATTTGATATAACTTATATTAGTAGTTATTCTACCAACACCTGTGACCTGTGTAGATCTAGATCTCTGCATTTAATATGTAATATTACTA